TCCTCTTGAGGGTAACGTAAGGTTAGCACCCCTTTCACAGAGACGCACAAATGTTCCAGGTGATAAATTATACATGAAGCAGATCAGAGACTTTAAAATACAGCTTCTCAGAAGTTGCTATGGAGCATTCCCGGGTCACTATGCGTGAAGTACAGCCGGCCTGGGCATCGTATGCCACTTCAACATGACCTGTATATTTTTTTAAATGCAAATAAGGTGTGTCAGTTAAGTTTCAAGACACAAAACAAATATTTGAAACCCCACCTACGAACTACTTGTCCCCTTCAAGGTTGCGTTTGCTGGTTCAGTGCACAAGATGAGGCGAGAGTCGTGCTCACCATAACAACGTGCCTGCTCACGCTACAACTGCGCTTCCGACAGTTCCTGGCTGAGAAGGACTTCGTCAGACTGCTGCAACCTCCCTCTGACCTGGCTCATTTTCCTCTTTCCCCAATTTGAAAATGCTGGACATCTTTTGTGACACCAGTCCCGAACCTATTCTGACACGCCTTATATATTGTTGTAAAACCAAATTGTGATAACGGTTAAATTGACGTCAAACATCACAGTTTACACAATGCGTCAACGCGTCCTTGTTGCAAAATATGCCAAGATTCCCAACAATTTATTAAACCAATAAAAAAAAAAAAAAAAAGCCTCCTCTGGTAGAGATACAGTAAATAAACTGCCTCCTGTCGAGTTCATAAAAATAAGCAGTACGTGAAAATAGTTGGACTGGTCGTGTGCTTACAGAACCACACACAGAAACCGTAAATCAACCCTGTCTTTGTGAACCGCATGACCCCCCCCCCCCTCCCTCAGTGACTAAGTTTAGGCAACTGAGTGCCGAGTTAAAAGCTGTCTGTTGGTAGAATTAAGCAGCATAAATGGGGACTTCTTAAATTACGGCCACGGGCATTTCATGGGGGCCCGCCATGCAATTCTAAAACCCAGACAGACTGCAACCTAAAAAGACTCCTGAAACATTTCATCCACAAATCAAAATATATCATTTTCATCACCTCTTTTATATTGTATTTATTTCGTTTTTTTTTTTTTAATCATTTGAGTACGGCCAACAGAGAACTCTCAACTGCATGGCTTAGGCGATATGTGAGCGGTGACAGTTAACTTACTTGAACTTTTCTCCTGCTGGTGCACTGCACGCCTCCAGAAAAATGGGATTAAATAGCACGTTTGGTCTCTATTGTTTGAACTCCGGAGAGGAGCGTGCGGCGACTTAAATGGGGTCCAAAATAGGATCGGAAGGACTCACTCACATGGCTCGGCTATTCCAAGCAGAAGTCACGTGCATACAATGCAAGCACGGTTATCGTGCAGAGGCGGGCGGTTACAAATTCAAACAATTTCCTGACAGCAAGTCATGAGCACTCTTGTTGTCCGATAATTTGCTGCTGATCAAATGATGATCAAAGTGGTGTTGTCGACGAGCGCGTGGAAGGTAGAAGTAGCGGCCTGCGATGGAGGTGTGTCAGGTGGAAAAACAAGGGTGTGTTCTTTGACGGCCAATCAAAATGGAGCATTGAGAAGCCACTGTTGACATTTACAGCGTATGAGTGTTGGCTTCAGGTGGATTGACGGCAGCAATTTCAATGAAGCTAAAAACAGAACAAAGAGTCCAGTGGAAAGTATTTTAGTAGGTCAGAAAGAACAGTAAGACCGTGTTGAAACATGTTTATCTGCTTCGGGCCAAAGCACATCATCACGCATGGTGCTTTTTAAACGGTGTCCTGGTTCACTTAGCGTACACGTCAGCCTTGTTCTGAAAATACTACAAGGAAATATGACATGACTTGACTGTACATGAATTTATGAAAACTAGATGAAAATCACGTTCATGTTTTGGGTGCGGTGTGGCAGGCGTTCTGTAAAACACACGGACGCAGGAATTTTGTAAAAATAGCAAAATGTGATTGATTTGAGTGGAAATGAAAATGAAGATTGAGCTGAAACTGAATTTTTTTTTTTTTGGGGGGGGGGGATAAATGCCAACATGGGCGGACTGTTAAAAAAAATACCAAAATGTGATTGATTTGAGTGGAAATGAAAATGAAGATTGAGCTGAAACTGATTTTTTTGTTGGGGGGGGTAGGGGGGATAAATGCCAACATGGGCGGACTGTTAAAAATAATTGTGGTAATTAAGTAGCGACGAATAATTAAAACCATTAACACTGAAAGACATAGCTGATACGTTTAACAACAACAGTCCCCATTTGTGATTGTCCCGTTGTGCAAGACGACACTCCCCTTGTAAGCCGAGCTCGTCAATAACAGCAATAATAAAGGCAACACGTGCCGGCTGCGTCCTTGTTTCGGCATCTAGCTGGAGGGAGGTCAAATTCCTCATATTACTCAAATTCCCATCAAGTTATATTATAATTGTTCCCATTGGGAATACAATGTGCCTCATTTATCACGTGCTTCAACCGGGCGCACTGAAGTACGTGTGCTGCCTTGCTGCTTCGTTCAGTGAGCGAGAAAAGGCGAGAGCTTTGGACAGACAACTCGCAGCTGCTTCACTGCGACAAGTTCAAAAATATTTGCAGAACGTGACATTCGCAACTTCAAGTTTCATACCTGGCCTGATGGGATATCTTCCACGGGAATCAATGCACAATTTGTCTGTCTGCGTCTGCGCCACGGAAAAGCTGCTGTTCACTCTTATGTACACATGGCAGTCTATTTATTCTAGCAACAACCGCTCTCATTTGCAACCCTGCTTTTAAAACCTAGTTTTCGTGTATCCGTCTTAGTGACGAGATAAACACCACAGCGGCCCACGGGAGTAGCGAGTGGGTCCGATCTCGGTGAACCTGGAAAGCCGCCACGCAAGCTAGCATAAGATATACATAGATGGTATCTTCCATTCTGGCAATCAGAACCACTGGTGACCCACTTTCACGGCAGCTAAAGTTAGATGGTCTGGAAATAAATGAGATACGGTTGCCACGGCTGCTGTTGAAACAGCCAAAAGGTGGACAGAATCAAAATGTTATACATAAAGCAGTGGTGGGAAGGATTTGGTGTTTGCTTACAATAAACTGTGGATGGCTTACAGTGCTCATTACTGCTTGTACTTTTTTGTATTTTTTTTTTTGTATTATTATTTTGTATTTTACACATATTTTGATATGTTGGTCGCATGTCTGCTGTTGTAACCACTTGCTGCGTTCACTCCAGATGCTTCCCATCCCCCTCGGCGCTGCTGACGTCGGCCATTTGAATCCTGCACTGTTGCATCCCATGCAGCCTGAAGATGGCCCAACTTGACCTCACATACATGGGCAGGTAATAAAACAAGTACAGATTGGCAGAATATTCAAAGGGCAACAAAAAAAATTGAGGAGAGAATTTACTTCAGTGGCTTTGAATACACTTACTCTTGAATTTTATTTACCTGAAATGCATTTTTGTTTGTTAAGCATTTTCACCTCAAAAACAGCTTTTTCCTCTCTCTCCTGTCTTGACTATTCAGAGTAAGTTTGCAACTCCTCCCCCCCCCCGCCCTGAAAAATAGAACTCATCCCATGTATTGTCTTGTAGCATTATTAATTGTCTTAGTTTTTCTGTTTTTTTTCCAAATTGTCAGCATGGCCCTCCCTGCACAGCATCCAATCACATTGCTGATGTGACACTTTCTGGAATGCTGCCCCAGCCCCCTAAAAAACTCTCTCTCTCTCTCTCTCTCTCTCTCTCTCTCTCTCTCTCTCTCTCTCTCTCTCTCTCTATATATATATATATATATATATATATATATATATATAGGGTTATTAGTTCCAATATGCAGATTTTATTCGCTTAAAATTGAGCTTTTGGCTTACTTCGTGATCAATTTTTTTCTGACTTCAAATGCACTTTTCAAGTAACTATAAACTACTACCTAGTAAGTTTGCACTCTTCAAAAGATCGAATACACTTCATGAAGTGAGAGCTCGTATCTGTGCAGCACTGCAATGTAAGCGAAGCGAAACAAATGCAGCGTCCTCTCACTTTGTGGTCGACTTAATGATGTGTGCAAGGAACAGCCCCCCCCGCCCGGGACTGCTGTATAGGCGGATTGCAATGTTGTTGAGAGGAACAGCAAGTCCTTTAGAGTTATCTGTAGTATGCGTGTGCGGGTTGGGCTGTAATAATGATTCGCAATGCTAATGGATCAGCGAATTTGGGTTGAAATTGAGGTGATTTGCGGTGATGTGCCAGCGAATCTCTCGCGCGAAGCCTGTACATGAAGTTCCAAGCAGTCGAACACGGGGCTATCTGTGGATCCTGTGCGTGCGCATGCAGTCGTAGTAAACCAACGTAGCTTACTTACTTTGTATACGTTGAGCGAGAGCATCTGAGAATATTAAAGCGATCTTCCTCCACGAACACACACACAAGCGGCTGACGATATAAGTCCCAACTTTTCCGATCCGGTTGAAAAGTTTCTCGTTTTCGGAGCCACTTGGTTGAAAACGTGGTCACGCGCGTACACACGCATACACGCACGCGCACACACGAATGCGCGCGCGCGCGCGCGCACAGTACGTAGCCCCACCCGCTTTGTGTCGGACACAGTTGCGTAATAGTGCGAGATTTTTTACCGATTTTCAAGCCAGAGGTGAGCAAACCTCGAAACTCAAGGGCCGTAGTAGATTTCTAAGAGGAAAACAGATCAGTCTGGTCATTCACAGAGGTCGTTAAAAAAAAAGAAAGAAAATTCTCAGTAAAGCATTCTCATTTTTATGGTTTCGTTTGGTTAATTAACAATTTAATAGAGATGTTAATTAAACAGGGTAACCCGAGAAAAGTCAAGTTTGTGTTCAAGCATTAACAGTAATGGTTCTGTCAATAGAGGGCATTGGCAGACATTGTCGTAAATAATTTTCAGACCAGCTCAGTAATGCGGAAAAACTAACCATAGTGATGGTCAATTTGGGCTTTAAAATATCAAAGTGGTCAGTCTGACAATACTGGGAAACAAGCAAAATGGATAGAGCGTTTCCAAGTGTATACTTTATTCACAAGCAGACAGATGATAAAACAAACAAAAAGACTAGAGTACAACTTTCACAGATGGTGTGCACAGTCAGTGCTGGTGAGGAGGCGGCGGCATTATTCTTTGTGTGTGGTGCAGCAAGAGGTCACTTTTAGCACATACAGGAAGAAATGTGAAAGGAGTCACTCGCAAGGCAGTTTTTACATAACTCAGTATGCGCCGTATTTTTATTTTCTTTTTTTCCGTCTATTTTATCCAGTAATCTTAAACCCAAATGTATTATGGCATGAAGCCAGAGTCTCTTAGAGTGGCTCATACAAGATTATTCGACAAGTGCACGAGGAACCTTTCTATACATTATTCACAATATTTACACAGGTGTTTTATTCAGTATGCACATTTTATCCCAGAGTCCAATTTAGTGAGGAGTCAAACATAATGAAGGAGAACTTGTCGGTGCGGCCCTCCCTCTGTCTATGACTTAGTTTCTAACAGAGACTTAATGTCCTTAATGCCTTGCTCAGCTGCTACGGCAATGATGTGGTCCACAGCCTTCATGTAAACCAGCATCTTCACAATCTCTTTCACTTGATCCCTGTGAACACAAAAGAGGGCGTCGAGGCTACACGGTGATGCAATAAAAATCGTGATGCAATAAAAATCACGAAGCGTGATCCAAGAACACTGGCAAAAAAATTATTCGTTTACAGTAGGCCCAATGTCAAGGTGCCCAAAAACTGTTTTGACTTACAAACAAAAGATAAGCGATCAAGAAAGCAATACGTGGTCTTACTTTGTCACACGTCTTTCTACATCAGAAGCGCCCAAGCTGCTGCGGTTCAACGAATTGGCCAAATGGACGAGGTAGCGACACAGCGGCTCCAGTTGTGGAAGCGTCTGCTGGCCCTTCAGCCCATTGAACCATTGCATCGGCAAACAGTCCACCACCTAGGAAAAAAGGCGAAAGAAAAAGTGAGAGGTGAGCACACTGGTCCCTGCACAGGCCACTCCCCCCCCCCCAAAAAAAAAAAAAAAACAATGAAGCAAGACTCTACCTTTTGGGACTTGTGAACATTGTCCTCGCTGGCTTCGGTGGTCTGCAGCGCGGAGAGGATGTACCTATTCAGAGTGCTGTCTAAAGCCAGGTCCTTGAGACAGGAAGTGGAGATGATCCCCTCCCATTGCAGGATGTTCCCCAACAGCTAATTAGAGAGAGGGCTGTTAGACTCCTGTCATGGGCAGACTCAACCATCATCATAGCACGCTCCAAAGTATAGTAATAAAACATCATCCTTTAAAAGAAATGACTTAGAGGATTTGATTTTAGAAAAAAAAAAATGCAAATGTGCCAAAGACTCTCCACAACATCCATTAGTAAGCCTCGTTTAAATTTGAACTTTGTCTCGCAGTCTTCAACAATACTTTGACACCATTTCCTACTTTCCTATAAAACATAGAAGTGGGAAAATTTGGGGGCATCTTAGGATGTGAGAGAAAATGCACATAAATAGGCAAGTTTTTCTGCAGCTAGCTAACGATAGGTTCCACACAAAACACGAATAGGTGAATTTGTACATGGGGAAACAGAAACAGGTGAGGGATTTTCTACAAACCTTCACACAACTCCAAAACTGCCTCTGGTAGAATAAGTAAGGACCGCCGTTCTTGTTTTCCAGCAAACTGAACAAAAGCAAAATCACAATAGGAGTGCAATTAACTGTATAATATTTGGTAGACTCTATTTTAACAAAAGCGCGGGCATACTTTTTGGGGTAGAGAGGTTGGAAGACATCTTCATCCAGTGTCCGCCGAACGCGCAGGACGACTGTTCTCAACAACTCCTGATGGACAAACCCCGCCCCCACACAAAGTACATTCATTAGAATGCTTGTGTTGAGATGACGAAAGTCCACACGAAGGCGGTGTTGCGTGTAGGACTTACCCGTGTGAACTGGTTGTCCCCATGCAGCACGGTCGGGTAACCTTTCATCAGGCGGCGAATGAAACCCACCAGCCGTGCCGTCTGGCTGTTTGACAGCGGGTCCCACACTTGCTCTGACAACACTGCGCAAACGCAGAGACACTTGTAGTGGCCCTGCTCGGGCGACGCTTGACAATTGCAGTGCTCATTAAATTTGTGTTGTTCACCGTGAAGTTTAGTAACGTAGCAGACGCAGTGACGAGCATATTATTTTGAGAAATGTAAAACATGCCTCAAGAGTGATGTTTCGCTACCTGTCAATTTGGTGAGGACAACCTTCTCCACGATCGCCGGGAGCAGGCCGATGTCGCTGTCTCCTTTCTGCAACGTGCTGTGCTCCTCAAAGCCGTAAAACAGCAGCGTCTCAAACCAGAGCATGTACTCAAAGTTGGTGCACTGCGCCTGGAGAGGAGCATAACAAGACTTCTTTTGAGATTTGGCTCAGCGCAAGGTTAAAACTAAAGTCAAAAACAAGGCCTCGCCTCAAGAGGGTTCCACGTGATGAGCTGCAGTCGAATGAGAGGGCTGAAGAGTTTGGGCAGGCAGAGGCCGATGTACGCGTCTTTGTAGCACTCGGCGTAGTTCCGCCTCCACGCTTCAAATTGGGATTTGATGTAGTCCATGGAATGAAAGTCCTCCAGCACATCCTCAAAAACTTTCTGACATTCTCGAGTGATGCGATCTGGAAGGAAGCAAGTTTGCCTCTCGGTGTCAGTTCATGTTTGATCGCTGACGATTCGTCTCATCTTGTCAATGCGACTTTTAATACCGTGCTCCACGCTGAAGCTGGTGATGTCCGTGGAGGTCTCCTCGTCATCGGACGACAAGCCTTCTTTGTGCTCCGCCCACTTTCCGTTCTGTTCTCGCGCTTGACGCCGTCGAGCTCTGGCAACACCGTGATGAACATTTGACACTGTGTTCAAATGACACCCCCCCTTCAGTCCCCCCCTTACCGTCGGGCCTCTCTTTCCGCTATCCTCCTTTGGCGACTGCTCTCTTGGTACAATGTGCGGTCACGAACAAATGAATCCAGACTGGGAGCCATGACGGCTTTATCTAAAAGAGACAGGAGCGATGTGAGCGTCGGTCGTGTTACGAAGGCGTCACCCTACAGCCACACGTCACATTAACACTGCCGAACATTTGATATTAACTTTAAGTCAGATAATTGTCCTTAGCTATTCGGTACTTCAAGCAATAAGGTACAATACTTGTTACAAATCCATATTTGTAGTCGGGATGGGCATTTGACAATGAGGAAAATCAACAGTTGTTCAGTAATAATTTGATAGAACAGAAAACTGAGCACTGGTGAAATGTTTTTCCTTAGGCAGCAAATTAGTGGGGGGCCTCGGTTTAGTAGTAAAGTCAAATCATCTTATGCCCATCCCCCAGTTGTACCAATTCCTGTTCACTTACCTGTCTGCAACATACTCGTTAGCTCATAGAAGTCACAAGACAACTTTGGTCACCTTTAAAGTGACTTAACTGGCATCCCGCTGACAGCGAGACTCAGCCGTGCAAAACTAGATGATACATTTTTCTCATGGATACATGCTCACTCCCATCCATCCATCCATACAAACCACATCACACTTTTTATCGAGGATAAGGGATATACATCCCGGCCATACAGACACAGAGCTCGCCCACTCACACAGAACTAACAAGGCCGTTCGAGTGAATCATAAAAACCTTCAAGATGGACTGACTTGAAAGGCTTGCAAACTCCGCCGATTCATCTTTTATATCATCCTGTCTTCTTTGGACGAGTCGCGAGGCCCGTTGCCTTAGTAACTGGTGCATGGCAGCCTCCAGCTCCTCGATGGCAGGCACCTGAAACATACGACGCCTTCTGTGACCTCTGAACCACAACAAGAGCAGGGCTCCGGGGTCACAGGAATGCCTCGCTGCTGTGAGGGAGAGGAGGATTGTGACGTCGACCAAAGAAAAAGAAAAAAAAAAGGGGGGGGGGGCTGGAATATTCCCACTGCGGAGTAAAAGCAAAGAATTCGCCGGTGGCTGAAGCCATAAATTGCAGCAAAAGAACATGCTTTTACCCAACAGGCAATATTCCGCTAGAATTTAAGAGATCCGTTTCAGGTCCTAAAGTTTACGGTTGCCGCTCTTAGCATTATGAAAAGAGTGATCACCTAGAATTAAAAGAAACATTGGGTTTAGATGCTGCAGGTTGCTCCATGTGGGTGGTGCTGCAAGACCAAAACGTTTAGAATTCAACATGCATTTCCAGTTCAGCAAATACAATCGCTGCACTGTTTTCAGAAGTATTCTCTTGGTTTACAGGTTCTTACACGCGCAAAGTATTCATTCCGACGGAATTGACTCTGCACGCTCTCTCTCCTCCACTACACAACATGTGCAACGAAAGGGAATGAAACTCCGCTTCACCTGTATGCTCAGCGCAAATGAAAAGGGCACGCTTGTTTATATGGATTAGGAAAGAGTATTTTATTCAGTTCGTTTTGCAGATAGCAATTAGCACAGATGTGTTTGTTGTCAAAGTGCTCCAGAAACAAAGTTGAGTTGCGTAATGTTGGTGCCCCAAGAACATGAGTAACACCGAGCACGTTTTTCCTCACTATTAGCAGTGACTTATAAATACCTCTTCTAATAAAACACTATTTGTCACTTGGACATTCCAAAAACATCATGTGGTCAGATTACAAAGACACAAAACATCTAAGCACAGAGCACATAATCTCCCTTACCTTTTCACCGAAACACTCAAGCAAGTCTCCAACATACCCTCGCATCTCTTGCAAGAATTGATATTGATCTGCATTGTCATTGGACGAGCCGTCCAGCTGCATTATGGCGCTCTCTGAGGCGGCAAGGTCTTCTTGGATCTGCGTGTAGCGATTGATGTTGGCGTTGTGGCCTGTACGCATATGACCGAGCCTGCGGACACATAATGGGCAGACAGAAGGTGGTGGAGGGGGAAAAAAAGGCAGTAGGGAGTAGGTCAAGGGCACAATTGCTTTATAGTGCATAATTAGATGCAGCAGAAGGCTTCAATGCAGTTGAATGAATTCAAATTTCTGACCAAAGTGGAGTATGTGCTTAGCTCTGAATGTAGCTTTACTGGGTCTCCAAGACCGCAGCACAGAGAGCAGGCAGTGTCCAACATGACAAAGCTGTTCGTGTACGTGACCTACCTATCCCGCAGGCGTTTCTTTACCAGATCAATGGACACCGGGGCTAAGTCGCTAACAGAGAGCCCGAAGTGAGCCGAAGTGCCGTCTGCCGGGGGCTTGCTGGCCTGCGGGGGCACCACGCTGTAGGTGAAGGGCATGTTGTAGCCAGTGCCGTAAGGTTGAGTATCGTAGCTGTTCTGGTAGTAAGCCGCGGTGTCCTCCGGTTGGCTGCTTTGGACCTGGTCGAGCGAGACAAGATGATGTTGTCACTTGGGACCGATACGAGTGTCAACATGACTTGGGAATCGATTTGGCTGGTTGTTAACCGAGGAAAGCCAGTGAACAGCCAACACATCGGCAAAAATCGGGGAATATTTGTTAAGAAACTGAAATTTTGAGGACCTATGTTAAATTTTAAAAAGGCATCTAAACCATTCAGTAATTATCAAAAATAATTCGCAATTAGATGTAAATGAATTGTAACATATAGCTCGAAACATGTTTTGTTTTCCAGCAAGGAGTTGTGTGTGGCTACTCACCTGTGGTATGCTGATCCCTTTCCTGATCTGCTCCTGCTCCCACCGGCTCACCTCTTCATCATGACCTGTATCTAGTGCCTCATCGTCGCTGCCTTCGATACCTTTCACACGCACGGAGCCAACGGTCACGACGACGGCAAAAGGCGGATACCCATCATGTCCAGTGAGGTAACGTACCTATCTCTTCTGCTATCTTTTGCCTTTGGGTTTTGCTCCGCACGCCGCTAAACCGGATCCTCTTCTCTTCCTCGTCTTCGTCGTCACTCCCGTCTTGGTCTTCCTGCGCCATGCGTTTCTTGGGGGCTTCCGTCTCGACAAGTGGGGCATCTCCCCCAAGCTCTCTGGCCAGCTGTCGCCGCTTTCTAGCAGCATGAATGAATGCTGCATCGGGAATCTCCCCTAGAGTAACAAATAGGTACCAAAAGGGAAATGGACCACAGTTTTGGGGGGTTTTGCAATTAATTTTGCATTTACGCGGTGGGTAAGTGTGTTTCTGGCCCAGGCAGATTATGTAATTTTTAAATTATGTAAAATAATTTGTTGCTGACAACTTAGCTCACACCCAGAACCCATTCTGAGAAACAATGTTACAGAACAAAAACATGAAGTTATGGTATAAGGCTCATGGATAATCGTGTTGCAAAGTGGTACCAGGTCTCAAAGTGTTGAGGGAGGAGAGCGTGTTGAATGTTGCTCCAGTGTTGTTGCTGCTCCTCTGTACTTGATTGCCTTTCACCTCCTCCCTCTGCTCGTCAGCACTATCAACCTCCATTTCATCCCCGCCATGCTCACTGACCACTTTGCTGATCACTTCTTCTTTGATGGCAACGATAGGTTGAGGCACCGCTTCTGTGGAACACAAGGAAAGATGAGTCAAATGGACAATGAACTAAGAGGCAGGCGTGCTAACTGCTATAGGTTACTATGCTGCATCTTTTTAGGCTTTCGTGTTGCCCAATCGTGTTTGGACGTCAGTGAATTAGTATTCAGATTTTCCTTTATTTTTCAGTGAATAATAACATGTCAGTAAACGGTGCACATCACGTAACGCCGCGGACATCCCCCACCTGTTTTGACGACACCACACTTCTCCAAGTCTTCCTTGTATTCTTTCTTCAGCTGCTTGACTATTTTCTTGCTGTGATTGGACTTCTTCACTCGGAAGACCTCTGGTCCTTCTGTTCGAAGCCATGTCACGACACCGACAGTTGCACACAGTGGATTGATCATGAATTAGTAATCACAAATGTGTTTCATCGAACAAGTTTTCTGTCAGTCACGAAGCACAAACAAAAATGATTTGTCAAACACCTGTTTGTACAAATTTTCTGCAGCGTGTCAGTTATCAAACCATCCTGTTAAATAATAAGGAGCGTATGCCACTGATATGATTTAGAAACCAAATGGACTAACAATGTGAAAATGGCGGCACAGCACGCTCCCTTCGCAAACCAAAATGAACACCGATGCGGTACCTTCTTCTTCGTCATCGTCGAAACTCAGCAAACTGGCTTTCGTCGGTCCGAGCACCGGAGCGCCGTCTTTCGCCTTCTTGTCCCTCCTGACGCTTTTAAAATTGACCCCGAAGCCGTTGCTTCTGGGGCTTAAGCTTACGTCGTTGCTGCCGCTGGACGTCTCCAGGAACGGGACTTCCTCCAAAACAGGCCCGAACAACGTCGGCGCGAGCATCGGCTGCACATTCTCCTCCCGCTCGTCCTCGTCGGACTCGTTCCTTCGTCGAAAATTTGCGCGCTTGATCCTTTTGAACATTTTGGCTGTCAGCGGTGATCAAGCATGCTTAAGGTATCGATACACAGAGATCAACCACGGGTGAGTTAGTTGACATCCATTCTGCTAGCGAGCTATTTTCATCACGGTGCGCTTCTTCTTCTTTCCGTAAATGTGACTGTTTTGTGTCTATAGTGTCTACTACTCCCCCTACTGCTCAAAACTAGGAAGTGCAGCGGACAGCTACGAACCTTTAAAAAAATAGGTTCACTAGCACTCGTATGTGAAAGCAAAGAAAGCACAGGGTCACACAACAACCATTACAATATTAATGCATTACCAAAGAAACTGAAAATATATATGAGGTAAGAGGTCAAGGAAGCTTAGTGTTTTTTTTCGCACATCTGCCTCATGAGTCTCCCTGTGTTAGGTTGATTCAAATGTGGGCTTGTCATTTTCTGTAGGAGTGAGTGTCAACGGTTGCTTCTCTTTAGTGCCCTCCAACTGGCTGGTGACAAATCCGGGGTGCACCCTGTCTCTCGTCCAGTCAGCTGGGATAAATTCCAGTTTACACACAACCCTAATAAGGATATTACAGAATATGAATGGGTGCAAAAGGGTCATTTTGTCAGTTCAACTGAAAAATAACATGTCAGTAAATGGGGCAGATCATTTAACGCCTGTGTCGGTTGCATACATTTTGGTGTCACTGTAAAAGACGTTGAAGTCGTTGGCCGTTCGTAAGCCTCTCGGAAACGGTCTGCAAAGAAAGACCAATGCAAATGCTGTTACGCCTGATTGCTAACTTACCATGTTAAACACGTTACTGTGGGCAAAAAGGTTGACGGGGCCCATGTCGTTCATGATCAAGCAATATGCATTCTGCACGTCTGACATTGTTCACTTGCGTCTTTAAATGGCAGACATGCTGGATGCAGCTAGGGAGGGTCATTACGGAGCCATTACTCAAGTGCTGCGTCGACGCCGTGGCAAGGATAATAACTGCCGAAATTAAAGTGTCGCCGCGGAGGAAGCTGGAGTGATTTGTTGTGATTAATTAAAATCAAGATGACCCTTTGCCTTGAAAACAATAATTGGATAAAAAATAACTCTCTGAAAGGTCTTCCAATTGATGGCACTATTTTAATTTGGAAGTCCCTTTGCTCCTTTTTCTCATAAAATGTTCATCATTCAAGATTATGTTTGGAAAATGTAATCTAATATCTATCACTGTTGAATAAATGATGGAGTTTAATTCAGGGGAGGAGAACCTATGGCGTATAATCAAGCATGACGGCCGCACAATAAAGAAAAAAAAGCAAAAAATCCCAGAGGAACCATCATAAAGAATCAAAATATCCATTCAAATCTCCAATGGCACTGCACATTTTAATATATTGTTTCAAGAGTGTTTTTTTTTTTTCTTTTCTTCCGGCAGTTAGTTACAGTGCATGTGAGTGAGGTTAAATATCCTTGTCTTGTCTGAAGCTAATAATAATAATAATAATAATTCATAGATCATTGTATATTAGAAATGGATCCCCGTGCCTGCGTGGCGTTTCTTCAGGTACTCTGGTTTCCTCGTACGTTTCAAAGACCTGCACGGTACGTTAATTAAACACTTAAAATTGTCCTTAAGTGTGATTGTGAGTGTGAATGGTGGTTTGTCTTCGTGTGCCCTGAGAATGTCTAGCAACCATGCTTACGGGGTGGACCCCGCCTACTGCCCAAACGACGGCTGGGATAGGCTCCAGCAGGCCCGCGACCCTCGTGAGGATAAGAAGATAATGAATGGATGGAAGATTAGACGAATATTAGATAAACGTGTGTTTGTTAAGATAACTGTCGAATCACATCTGCAGCAAAGCAGAGTATTGTCGTTAACTCCAACAGCCACTTGGGGGCACTGTTGCCCCTTCTAATAAAAATGCATTTGCCCGACATGTGGCGAACGATGGCCCTCACAGTTCACTCATGTATGAATGCCAATGAAATACAATGACATTTCCTGATCCAGTCTGTATCTGCTGCAAGCCAGCACGACTATAGATTGCATTAATAGTTCACTTCGAAAGGGTCATCAAGTAAGCCTCTCCCTTACGCTTTATGTGACCGTTTTCATCAACTTTATGGAAAGGAGATCCACTATTTTATCATTTGGTGAGTTGAAGTGGCCACTGCCTCAAATTAGTGATGGTCATTTGAACGGCCCACACTGACTACAGCCACTCAAGGCGTGATTGAAGCCCCTGGTTTCATTTGCAATGATGAAGCAAACATCAGGGTTGGCTACCCTGGTTTATTAAATACACAGAGTGCATGTCAAGTGGTAATGAAGAGAATTATTGTTATTTTATTTATTTTCTGTAAGTGGCACTGTAATTGAAGGGCAACAGGAGCCGCACCTTTCACCTTTTACTAAATACTTTCATTAATGTAAGGTTACGTTTGGTAGCCTGGAGAAAATTAGGATGTCAGAATTAATTCATTAGTTCTTTCTTTTTAAACAGCAGTATGAAAGCAGTCGTGTTTTTGTAGTCAAAGTGTTCGTCTTTTTTTTTTTTTAATGGCAGATATGTAATTTTGGAATTATCATGTTCCACTGGTCTCAGGTAATAATGTCCTTTGAATGCAGAAGATTGCTGTCATGATACAAACGCCCAAGTAAAATAAATATGACAACTGTGGATTAATTACTATTGTTATCTCTAACAGAGGATCAGAAATTGCTTGGTGAGAGAACATTTCAGAACATTTTAGTCCTCCGTCTGAGGAGGAATTACAAACGTACACGCCAGCCCTCCCTGCAAGTAAGACTGACTCCTTGGAATTGATGTAAGAATATACCCAGACTAAACCATGCCGGAATGTGGGATATAAACAGAAAACAATTCAGAATGCGTTGTAAGAATATATGAGGACAGAGGCAGACCTTTCTTATTGACCGACCAATGATTTTTGGCCAATGATTGCATGAGCAGCTACTGAAAAACTAGTCAATGTTGGTAGAGAATATCAAGTTTCAGACCGTGCAGGCTTGACTGGACTTAAACAGAAATGTAAGTCACAGCTCAAAGTAGATTCAAGCTCTGATGCTGACGTTTAGGGTACCGACCTAAACGTCAGCATCAGAGCTTGAATTGGTCAGATTCTGTTACCTGACTTGGCCATTTTCCAGTTTCTTTCACGGGTCACTTATTGTTGCGAGGCGGATTTCATGGAGTACATCTGTCATCCATTTTGTGGTTTTAATTTTACATGGGGATTTGTAATAAGTAATGTTAATTTTGTGTTGTGTTCCTCGAGCTAATTCAGATCTCAATTCCAGACAAGAATTCAGAGAGCTACGGACATGCAGGAAAGCTAATTACACATATTTCTCTGTACGTTTCCATGCAACGGAAATTGTCTGCCTGTGCGTGTAATTTTATGCGTCGGTATCATACTGTGTGTTGTAGAATGTTTAGTTGCAGTGGATCACAAGAGATAACAAAAATTATGACATTGGCTAAGCTAACCAATAGCGTTCCTTTTCAATTTACAGTAGGCAAGAGCATTAAGCTAGCAGAGCTTTCATGTCGTTTTGAATATGCAAAATTTATGTTCATCTGTGAATGATCAGTTGGAAATCCCCCCTTATGAGATCGATCGATATATTTGTATGCTTTTCTAGGTTTACAGTGATTTCTGAATTAAAGAATGAAAAGGTGATTATGTCTGATGACTAGTGTAGCAGGCTAAGGGGACAACACACACACACACACACACACACACACACACACACACACACACACACACACACACACACACACACACACACACACAGGAGCAGAATAGCCTTCATTTGTGCATCATAATAGAATCCACTCTCGAAAGAAAGACAAAGAGTGCCTGGTGCATAATGCAGCCGTGCTACTATAATGGGTCGCGCTTTCAATCAACCTTCTGATGCGGCCCATCAATTCTACCTTTTGTTGATTTAAAGGCCACTTCCCAAGCGAAGCCTTGTTTCGGCGACAGGAGAGCAGGAAACACTTCTAAAAGTATAAGAAAGTTATCAGACTAAAGTACTGTGTCAGCAACAGGGCCGCTGCTTGCCTTTTCGCTCTCTACCTCCTCCCTCAACTATCAGTCAAGGTAGCATCAAAGTCTAATCACCAGGAGCCACACTTGCACATCGAGGCTTGTGAAGGAATCTTACGGGAGGGAAATGTGGATCCCTCAAGGACACTGATAGTTCACACTACACAGGAGAAGAGACAACATTGGAAACGAGCTTGTGCAGCAGCCTTCTTTGCTGTTTCGCTCTGAGCGCTCCCTCAATGGGAAATGCCCTCGAACAAAAGGTAGGATGTTGTGTCAAAGATCTTGACCAGTGAAAGGGACTCAGAGGAGAGTGAGTCACCCACACATGGAAAACCTCAGTTTCAGCTGCCTGTCAACACTACCTTCATATCAGAAGTTTCTGAAGGCTGCTTTACAGTTTCACAGAACTGGCATATATCCAGCTGTGCCTTTCACACAGAACCCAGCTAAAATGGAAATATTGCCGTGCCTGTGACAACGGCAACGGCTAGCGTTGAGAGAAAAATTACAGCATGAACCTATCAGGCAACGAGACCATCCATCCATCCGTTTTTGTGATCCGCTTTAACTTATAAGGGTCGCAGGGCATGCTGGAGCCTATCCCAGCTGTCTTCTGGCAGTAGGCGGGTGACACTCGGAACTGGTTGCCAGCCAATCGCAGACCGAGACCATTAACAGTGAAATTCATTTGAAATTTCTCGAAACTTTTGAATGCACAATTTGCTGTTTTCTATGAAGGAAAGAATTATATGGATATAGATAGATAGATAGATAGATAGCTAGATAGATAGATAGATAGCCTTGGCCACCACCCCATGGCCACCCCACGGACAAAAGTGTTGTAGCATACGAATGGATGGACGAAAAATATCTATATATACCGTATGTAAAAAAAATCCTATTCATTTCCTCTAAAGACTGCCTGATTGAGAGAAACACCAACAGTACTCTCGCTCACCTGTATGATTTTAGCATCCCTCTTCTGAGAGCCTGTGAAGAGTCAAGCTCGCCTCATGCTGAGTTACCGTCAAAAATGAGCGCACACTGATCGGTGGCTTCTCTGCTTTAAAAGAGCGACAACGCC